TGGGAGTGCCAACGACCGTAGGGCCATGTCCATTGCAAACGTCCATTCTTTGAATGTAGCGGAATCTCCTCCAAACACAGACGGCTCTTTCGTAAGGCGGAGTTTTGGCTCCCACGGTTCCTTTTCCTTCGTTCGGTTTCCTTGGCTAACGCGCAGAGCGGTCTTGATATCGTTTATCAGCCGAAAGACGAGTACGAGGAGCGTAAGCAGAGCGACAAGAACACCTGCCAACAGCAGAGTAGTAACCATCCTCTTGCTACCAGTGTAACAGGTTTAATCGAACTTGAAAAGTAAGAGGCCTGGTTGAGCGTGCCTCAACCAGTTATACGCAAAAGGTGATAGTATACATGTGGCAATGGCGCCAATGAAGGTGCTAATAGACAGGCGTAAGATGCACAAGGTGTGAGGAAGTGTAAAGTTATAGCGAACAGGGGAAAACTGTTACAGTATCAGAGACACATGCTGCGTATTCTGCGTTAGTACATGGGCTACGGAGTCGTTGGAATTACTTACTTCGCACCACTGCGATAGCTCCCGAGTCACTTGAGCAGCTTGATATTGCTTTGGCAGGTGCTTTCCTCCGTGCCATTACCGGACGGTCGTCCTTTACGGACACTGAGCTTTCGCCTCTTCGGCTTCCTGCTCGGCTCGGTGGCATTGGCCTGCCTTCAGTTGTCGAGATGGCGAGGGAGCAGTTGGAGGCTTCTGGCCGTATTACCGACGGCCTCGAGACGCTCATTCGGAGGCAGGAGTTCCCAAATGGTGCAGATGTGGTTGATAGAGTTTTATCCGCCGTAGCTTGCGCCAAGCGGGAGTGTCGTAAAGTTGCGGGTGAGCGACAGGCAGAGCGCCTGCGTGCTCTTCAATCGCACCTGTCTTTGGAAGTTAATCGTCGCGTGGAAGAACTGGGTCGCCCAGGTGTTTCATCATGGCTGTCGGCGCTCCCTATTGCTGAGCATGGTTTTGAATTATCGAAGGGAGACTTTCGAGCTGCCATTGCGTTACGCTATGACTGGCCGTTGCGTGACACCCCTGCTGTATGTGCTTGTGGGGTAGGTTTTTCCACTAGCCATGCTTTGAATTGTGCTTTTGGGGGATTCCCACCTATTCGACATAATGAAGTACAAGATCTTTTCGCTGCTGTCCAGACCGAGGTTTGCTCCAGTGTGTCTGTAGAGCCACCTCTCGCCCCTGTCGAGGGTGAGATTTTTCAGGCCAAGTCGACGAACACCACCGTCGAGGCTCGCCTTGATGTGAGCGCTCGAGGTTTCTGGACGGGTGGGCAATATGCATTTTTTGATGTTATTATTATTACTATTTTGCTTGTTCGCGTTGGCATCAACCTGCATAAAGCAGGTATATTGCCTTCGCTTAAGCTGCCATAAAAAAGAAAGCTCAATTTCACGTTCTTGTTCGGCATCTTGCCCAAATTCAACCGATTTTCACGATTCAAACTGCGCTGCAAAGCTGAGATCCAAGCGGTTCATTTGACGTCCATCATGCATGCGTCGTGTGAAAGGGAAATCCCCTGGCATGCCCCAAAAAACTACGAAGTCATGCACAAAAAATTTCGCGTTCGCTCAGTGCCGTGATTTCTGTGTTCATCCTGTCGCCACTCAGTGATTTTTTATCCTATTGAGACGAGCTCTATATTCCCGGACAAAAAGATGAGCTCAAGACCTTTCCAACGGTGTATTGATTGTCGCGATGCGTTTATGTTTCATGGAGTCACGATAGTGTGTACACTGGTTTATGCAGTGCGATAGAATGGGTGCTCTCTCCCGGCTGTGATTTCGGTGTTCATCTTGTCGCCGCTCAGTGATTCTTTATCCTGTTGCGACGAACTTTATATCCTCAGCAAATCCTTCACCCATACACTTCCTGCAGTGTGAAAGAAGTAGGGCACCAATCCGTAGAGGATATAACCTGGCTTTATTTCAGCATGTTGAGCTGGTATTTCTACGGGAGGTATTCGACTATCACTTTCTGGGGGTCTGATCTACTCACCTCCTATGCCTAGGACATATGCGCCGTTTTCCACAAAGGGTGGTGGCATCCACACGGATGCGAAACACTCGGCCTCCAGCCCAATTTAAAGGGAAGTTAAGCCCAAAATCCTATGTTCACCAGTTGCAGTCTTCGGGTTTGCGGAGTCAAATGCCATGGTCTTGGTCTGAGGAAGCTGAGACAATGCCTTCCTACTTTATTCCCAATCGAACTCGCCAATTCTACCGAAACTGGTGGACTGTGCCCAACTAGATGGGGATTTGCATCCAAAATGTCACCAAAAGCGCCATTTCGTTCTCATGAAAGCACGGATAACTGCGAATGGCCCACTGGTTTTGGTCCGAGAAGGCTGCGATGCAGCATTCAGTCCCTATTTCCAATCAAACATGGTTGAACAAGCGGTCATGTGCTCATGTGTACACCAGTCACCTGGTCAACTTGCCTGCAAGCCACAACTTTCACAACAAGGTTCAACTCAAAGGTTCAACTCGTGTGACAGGAACGCGCCCCAACAAGCTATAAGAAACGCGTTTCCAACTTTGCCGCTCAAGTATTTCACATAGCACCACAGCAAAGGATGCAACTCTCGAAAGGTCTTTCCCTCAGCTTTCCAATTGTAGAAATGCTGCCACACTTCCATAATTATGTTTTCTATGTTGTAGGTTTTCAATAGAAATGCCACATTTTCATTTACACGTGGTGGACAGGTTGCACTACCCTGCAGTCTTTTCGGATCCAGCTACCGTATTTCCTCGATTAATGGACCATGCTCGACTAATAGACCATGCTCAAATAGTAGACCCTCCTAGAGGCCTCACGGAAAAATAGTAGACCATGCCCGAATAAGAGACCCGGTCTCTTATTTGAGTTCATCGCTTTGCGTATGCGCACTAAGAAAGCACGTGGTGGATCAAAAAAGGACGCGATTTTAGGTTGCGCAACTACAATTTTTGTAGTGGCTAGTGCTTTCTTTTGTTATTTGAGCACGGTCCACTATATTTTCATCGGCACATCGCTGGAAATGGTGGATTTTTAACATGTCATAATATAGAACTTCTATATTATGACATGTTAAAAATCCACCATTTCCAACGATGTGCCGATGAAAATATAGTGGACCGTGCTCAAATAATGGATCATGCAAAAATAAGAGACCGGGGGTCCAGCCGCCTTCAAAAAACAAAAGACCGGGTCTATTAATCGAGGAAATACGGTATACCTAAAAAAAAACGTATAAACTCGTCCTTCGTCCTCAAGACGTGAAAGAGTTATTATTTATTTTTATGTTAATGCCATGTTGAACCATGTCTTTGCAGCAAGCGATTGTGGAGCAATCGGAGCAATCCAAAAACTTGTTGGAATGTTCTTTACAAGCGGAACTACTTATGGGGTCTACGACTTCATTCGCATCCAACATTGGACCAATTTGGTTACAACCTTGTTGGCTCTTCATCAATAACTTGTCCTGAGAGTGGAGTATTGTCGGCTACCTTCCCCAGCTGTGACCGTAAGTTCAGAGTATTACCAAAAGCTGACCACTCTATGCACTGGCTCCGGGGATGTTGTACTTGATAGATCGCACACTGTATGGAATCCCATTTCTATGAAACGACTTGCATTCAAATATCGTATTTGGGGGGGGGGCGAGGGACGTCATCTGAACGATAATATCTCTCCTCGCTTCAAGGGTTTTTACCAAAGGTACTCTGTCGTCCCTTAACCCTTTGAAGGTCAGCTGGTTTTCCATAATTCCAGGACATTCGCATCATACAGCACCCAGCCACGGATGGGCGATTTAAAAAAATTCCAACTTCACTCGCCTGCCATGGATGTTGCTGATGTTGGGGTTCTTCACTAAAAAGCTTGTGATCTCCTTCATCGAAACGTAAACAAATGCAATGGTAGCCCCTCTAAGTCCTTTGAATGCAACTCCATTGCGCCTCCATTTACTGAGATACACCATATACATCCACAATTTCCTTTGGTTCAGGACTTTTACTCAACGCAGAATAACGATTCAACCTTCTCCATGTCACCGAAGTTCACGCATTCGTCTTGGTACCCACTGCGCATGGGCCTCTGCTATGTGTCATGGGGGAACCCCATGCACGCGCAATTTCAGCTCGAAAAATTCGAAATCCGCAAGTAGAGTGTATAGAAACGCGTTCGTAACTTTGTCGCTCGGGTATTTCGCATCGCGCCACAGCACAAGACGCACCTCTTGAAAGGACTGTCCTTCAGATTTCCAATAAGCCCTGGTTTGTGAAAATCAAGTATAAACCGCCTCCTACATGAACACAGTTGGATTATGCGGAGCGATGAGAGCCTCATACACGTACTGTGTTGATCTTGGCGCAATTTGTGAATAAAAAATGTGTCAAATTAGCTGAAGTTTCTAACCGTACCTTGTCGCATAATGAATGGGCGGTTTTCCGGTCTCAAAGACATTCTTGGAAAATTATTCTTACAAGATGAGTGCAATGCTACATACAAATATACGGGATATCCCCTCCTGAAAGAGAAAGTTTGCATTAGTCTCTAAATGTAAGGATTACATAACTTACCGTACTGGCGCGATTAGTAGTACCCTTGGGGCACTATATTTTCAATTTCCATCACAGATGGGGCAGTATTCAAGAGAGTGCACTATTTATGAGAGGGCACTATGTTTTCAATGCCCGTATGCTTGCATCATGCAGCGTATAACAGAGCAAAACAGAGCCCAAAGCCTACTGTAAACTATCACGACTCAAAACAAAAAGGCACCAAGAACTGCGATGTTGATCCAGAAACCACCAGTTCAATGACATGGACAAGCACATTACCAAAAGAGCACCAAACTTGCACATACGGTTGGTTACAAGCTCGGGGGGGGGGGACTATTCAAAAGAGAGAGCTCATTTTGTTCACTGGCTCTTAGAGACTGGGGCAGTTTTCGAGATAGGGCACTATTCAAGAGAGGGCCCTAATCGCTCGCGTACGGTATGTCTTGTTGCTCTACTGTACAGGAGTCGTGTGCAGCGCACTGATGAACCCCACGCTTGGCACCGTAAGAGTTCCAGCTAATGAGTATCTATCCAAGGCAACCTACAGTTGCAATGATGGATATGTGTTGTCTGGTGATGCTGTGACTACTTGCCTACTGACTGGACTATGGTCGACATCACCACCCACATGCCAACGTAAGTGCAGAATAATGTATTACGTTTAGTTTGTGCAAGAACTTCAGGAGTTCTGCTTACTAGTTATTATGGTTGTCGAAGCAAGGCACCAGGATCAATATGAGTCACATACACATAAACTGATATGAAGTGGGTGTTCAGATTTTTTCTTCAACACAACCAAATACAAGATCCCTGTGCATATGATGAGTGAATGGTTCAAATATTTGGTTTTGACTGCTGCGGAATTCTGTCGCCAGTGCACTGAGTAAATGTACAAGGAAAGGGGATAATTTTCACTGGAAACACCCCACACCTAACAGTCTGTAATCTGGGCACCAATTATCTAAATTTTCAACCCGAATCACTAACAAATGAGAAGGAGAGCAACGGAAAAAATTGTAACTTGGACACATCTGGTTTAGCTGGTGGACTCGATCGCATAACTTGTGCCCTAATGTTTCCATGAATCACTAACATTTCAGAATTCGCAGTAAAATGCTCACTCCTTTCTAGAGATTCCACGGTAACTTCATTTGTAATTCACCAATGTTGACGATGTTAGGTTCACTGGAATGCGCTTAGAGAGATAAGAACACCAATTACAAACTTATCAAAAGAATCTATCACTGCGAAAACTTCAGAAACTGCCGATAGATCTAATCTCCAAGTCAAGTCGTCAAACAACACATGTTGTGCAATTTCATCTCCATTCAGTCAAAGCTTCTAAACATTTTGGAAAATATTCCGATCATCCTTTGCCGTCTTCATTAGGAATGTTTTCATACTCATCCGTGGCAGGGACAGAAAACTCGTCAGCTGCACAAAATGTAAAAAAACAATTGCAAACGTTCCATCAAGTGCAAGCTGATCAGAATTCATCCCCAAGAATTGAACACTGTTCAAGCCGACAGACATTTCTAGGGTGGGACTTTACCGTGCACGACAAAGAGCGAATTTGTTGAAAACAGTGCTCTGCCGTCTGTAAAATGATAACGATGATATTGCCTGTCCCTTGATCTACATCTTCTTTTCCAACCGTAGGTATACCAACATGTGCTGTCCTTACAATCGCCAATGGGGAATTCAGTGAACAGCAGACGCAGAGATTGAACGCGGTTGCGAATGTGACATGCAACGAAGGATACGAGATCAACGGCAGTAGATCTGTTGTGTGCTTGGAAAGCGGAAAATGGTCTGACACTCCACACTGCATGGGTGAGTGAATGATACAATTCCCTACTCTATTTCTCTCTTCATGGAATGGAGATGTCTATACGCTTGTCCAATCCGTTATCCAATCCGATGCTGATCCGACATCATTTTTAAAATAGATTCTAATACGCCTGTGCACTGAACCCATACTATTATACGATGAGTTTAGAATGCGTATGGATGAGAATTTCCAGGAGTTGCTCTTGTTCACATGATTCTAAATTCGTGATTGCTAACCCCATGCTAACACGAAGGTTAAAGAGGAAGTTCCCGGTTTGTGATTGCAAAAGTGTGTTCAAATACGGTTTGCTCAAACTCCATTGTAGATATATTATAGCAAGCGTACATACCGTATTTCCCCGTAAGTTAGTATGTACTAACTTTCGAACTTAGTAGCCACATGAGTACTAACTTTCGGGGGTGATACTATCTTTCGGAAAGTACTTTTTTATCGGGGGTAAATGACTCGCAGTGGGAAGCCTGCGCAACTCTAGTGTCCGTGCATACGATGTATGTACTGTACGGTGTCTGTACATGTAGGACGGGTACGAACTTACTACCTTTCGAGGGGAACTGTCTTTCGGGGTGATAACCTCGGCAATGGAAAGTGTATTTTATAGGGGGTACTAAGTCATTGGGGAGAAATTACTTACGGTGAAATACGGTAACCCCCAGAGTGTGTATCGCCGATCCAGCTGTGCATAGTGTCTTGGTCCAGCAGAATCGGATCTTCTTATGTCATGCGTACACTACACACCAGCGCAAATCCTGCCTCGAGGCAGGGCACCCTTGTTTTTGATCCGAGAGTACCCGCGACTCCCTGGGTTCCCCTGAGATGTGTAAGGTATTATGACGCAAAGATCCGATTACGCTCGACTAATACACTATGCAGAGCTGGATCACGCGTTGCACGCTGTGGGGGGTTATGTACTCTTGCTTATAGTTGTTGAAACCGACAGCTCCGAATCTGCGCTGTTATTTGTTTCGAAGATTCGGATCTCAGTTGAGATTTGACTGAATTACCATCAATAGAGTATAGTTGGGAGGGCTCAAGTTTCCATGGACCGACGTCAGGCAATCCACAATATAGGATTGATAGGTTGGAAAATAGGGCTGCTCTGTTGGTTTTTCGACCCAAGACATCACAAGCATCCATAATGATGGTGATGGGGATAAAATAATGTACACTGATCCCGCCTTATGTTTGATTTCCGTTCTTAGAGATACCGACATGTGCAGTGCTCCAAATCGCCAATGGTGCATTCAGTGAAGCGCAGACACAGAGAGTGAACAGTGCTGCTGAAGTGACGTGTAACACCGGATACCAGATCAACGGTAGTAGATCTGTTGTGTGTTTGGAAAGTGGAGTATGGTCCGACAATCCACACTGCATGGGTAAGTTGTTAATGACTTTTCCTCCTACATTTCTTACAGCCTAGAATGGAGAATGTTGTGTGCTAGTCCGATCCCTTCAATTTGATACGTTGGTTCATTGAAGTGCTCCCACCAACCATTTTGGAGAAGAGGTCACGGCCACTTTGGGGATACCGGGGTAATTGTTGAGTGCTCTACAGTCCATTTCAAAACTATAGACGCGTACCTAGGCAAAAACCGTTATGCCAGCATCTATACCACATAAAATCTGTGATCACTTTGTGCATAAATTTTTCCAAATTGGGCGTCTGTTATCCAATCCTTTAGAAACTATATGAGAGTAATTGTGGAGCGATCCTGAGCAATATTCCGAAAACTATTCTCAAAAAGTTCCAGCCAAATTTGAAATATTTCAAAAACCCTACGCGTCTATAGTTTTGAAATGTGTTCTATACTTGGGACGTCTAGCTTGTCATACCTACAGTCAAACCTTGTTAGGACGAACACTGATAAGGCGAACTTTCCATTAGTACGAACTAGGGCCAATCCTATGGTTGGCCAGGCATCATATCAAGTCAAAATGGTTCGTTTACGACGAACTCCTGTATGGCGAACTTTCGTGAAGACGAACTATTTTCCAGTGTGATTTGAATAAAATCAGCCGCGTAGTACGAACTTTGGTGTGTGCACGTGCGCTGGCTGTCTTTTTTCTTCTTCTTTTCGATAGCCGAGTCCATACATTGATTGTGCATGCCTGGGAACTCGTGGCCTGGCATGAGTAATACATGGATGTGGCAAATGGGATCGATGTCTTTGGCCTCGGGTTGGTGGATCTGATCTATCCTCCCCCACCGTTTAGGAGCCGCATCTGACGCCTGATCCTGGGGTGGTGGCGTCCCACGGAAGCGGAAAGGTGGTTCCTGACCAGGGAGTTGTACGACTCCTTGTTCTTGACCTGCCCGGTACGCGAACCCCGTCGAATTTATTTATTTTATTTATACATTGATTGTACGTACATACATAAACATAATACATGTAGATCTACGTTGTGAATCGTAGTAGACGCACTGAGGTACGTGCTTTCTAGGCATAGTAGTTTCAGCGTGCTAGCGTACACTATTCGCGTCGTTGATCGCGCTTCAGGCGAAGGTGACTTTTTTCCATTGATGTTTGCAACAACTTCAAGGTGGTCCCTGCTAGTACCAGTGTTCTAGGTGAGTTATGAAGTGAGCTGTGAAGAGATTCGTGAAGTGTTTTGTGAAGCAAAGAGCGTTGATCCGTAGAGGGTAGTGGCGTTCCTACGGATGCGGAAAACTCGGCCTCAACTGGCTCCAACCGAGTCTCACACGAACCAAGAGAGTTTTTTTGTTGAAGTATGAAACTCGGATGTTGAGGTGTTGTGTTTCACACTGTGCTTCACACTCGTAATCGCTTATATTCAATCCATGATTTCATCGTAATGTATTTGTATGTGTATGGAGGCACAGTCACATTGTACTTACCTGTTTCTGGCTTATGCTCAGAATAAATGTTTCCCATGTACCACAGTATGCACCTTCACGTAAATACAATCCATATGATATGCATAACGATTTTTTTGTCAGATCTGGATAAGAAGAACTCCCGATAAGACAAACAAAATTAATGTGTTCAGTCCCTTGAAGTTCGTCCTAGTGAGGTTTGACTGTACTTGCATTCTCACTTTATTGACCCACGACTGCCATCCCGAGGACATGAGAAACAGGTGGCACCTTCCAAATCTTCTAGAAAGCACCACTAAAAGCTAAATATGCGGTGTTTCAAAATTCCCCCTTCGTCCTCTACGCTTGAGCAGGATAAAGAAATAATTAGTGCTGAACCGGGTATAATTTTTTCGGGTTTCAGGTTCGGGTAGGTTTCCACGGGTACACAATCGGATAATGTTTCCATGGTAACAGCAGACAGATGGAACATGCTTCCACCTGGATGTCGTCAAGCTAAGCCCCTTTCTGCATTTGTCACAAGCACCAAGTCATTCGTAGGGCTCCCAGTAAAAAGGCAACGCCTGTTGCGAGTTCTCTAGTAAAATAATAAATTCTACTACGTGTACTACTACTACTACCACAATGCACCCCTCCCTTACACACTCGACACACGGAGTATTACATGAATTTGTACACGTGCACTGCACATGATGTCATGTGCGACTTCGGGTTTTCGGGTACTACACCGTATGTACCCGGTTACCCGAGGTTCTCACGGGTAGCACGGGTACCCGACTACCCGTGCACACCCCTTGAAATAATGTAGTCACATGAAGAAAATATTACTGAAATATTGCCACAAGATGATGTCATAGGATAGTCAAGTAAGCACATGATTTCAAGTAAAACCATGTACACTAGCATCTTTTGTGCACCACTTACCTGGGCCGACGTGAGGGCATCAACCTATAAGCAAGTAGACGTATCCGATTCCAAGCACGTATCCAAGCAAGTTGACTTATCCGTGGAATAATTATAATCTTTTGGCTACCGTTCTGCTTTCGTTGGGCGTGATTCTTCGAATTAATCCTGACCTTCCCAAAACATTTCGTCACTGAAAGCAGAGGGGTGCGATCAAAGATCATTGTGCACGTTCATACAAAACTTAGCTGTCGTCATCTGCTGCACACGAGTCGTCATCTCTCTCGAGTCGTTGTTCAGCTCATTTCAGCCTTGCCTCGGCTTCTTTGATCACACTTTGCTGACCTTGATGTCGCCGTCGTTCAAGTAAGTAGGTTTTCAAGCTGCTTGATCCGCACAATGGCGATTGCTCGTTTCCACCCGAGTCGTGAAAACTATTTTACGACTCCCTGGTTTCATTTTCGCTCTCCAGAACTCTGCGAAACGACAAGTAAAGGCACAGCCAAACTGATTCCATTTTCTGAATTCCCCTGCCAGCACAGAATGGCAGCGGCTAGCAAGTCCAGTCGACTTTCTTTAGCCACGAGACTCGCATCGGCATGGCGCATGCCCATCAGCATTTGAATCTGGGCTTTGCGCAGGTTGAACGAGAACTTGATTTCAGAAATATTTTCATTGAGCCGTGCGATCGAAGCAGCTCCTTGTTCACTCGCTCATTGTGTAGGCTCGCTGCTCCGTTTTATCGCTTTCTATCACTCTCTAACTTACTCAGTGCTAAAGTGGTAGAGAGGCCAGGTAGCGCAATATCCCCTCGGAGAAGTGGTATTTTAGTTTCGCTCGCCATGACTGTCATCACCTATGTTCGACAGCGCAACCATCGATTCAGCTCGGCTTGTTGTGAAGGGTCGCTTTTCTTGTATCGTACCTCTTTCATGGCATGCCAGGGAAGTCCAAGAGAGTGATTGCGACTCATTTCACGGCAGTTAGTGCCCAAATCAGCCCCTCAAAAAATCCATCACGAAGGTTTTGTTAACGGAGGAAGTAGCACAATGTTATATACCATTCTTCTGAGCTATCTGTTATCCATCAGTTTGTTTTCCGTTTCTTTTCTCTTTGCTCGCAGCCAATCCCACAACTGCTCCAGTCACGGAGGCGGCCTGGCTCGAACAATCTAACAGTCTAATCGTCATCATTGTGGTTGGCGTGCTTGGCATCCTGCTCCTATTCTTCATCATCGCCTTCATCATCGTGCGACGAGGAGCGTCTGGTCACAAGGGCGAAATCACGTTCAACAACCACCAGGCTGAGGAAAGCTATCAAATGGACGTGCAGAATAGCACCACCACCTCCACGTTCACGCAGAAAACCGATTCAGCCGCAGACATGTACGCCGTACCGGAGAAAGCGCCAAAAAAGCCCGCCCCGCAGGTTTCTGACGAAGGCATCACGTATGCAGCAGTGGAGTTTTCGGCCGACCGGAAGCCCACTATCTCGGTTTCACCCAAAGTCGACGACAACACCACCTACAGTGATGTCACATTCCTGCGAAAAACGGCCACGTAACTCAATCTTTTGCCATGTTTTACCACTATTTTTTTCATTTCCAAACCCATTGCTATGGATGCGGTATGCCAAGCTTGCCTTGGGAACTGCTTTATTTTGCTATGTCGTCACAAGATAGGATTTAAACATGGTAATTTTAACTATCAATAATATGCGTAGGCCATACACCTAATGCTACATTTGTTTCAATTACAGAGGCAATCTTTTTTGGTTTAGATCTTTTTGATGCTAGATATTCGCTTGCCATAGCTTTTTCCTTGTAGATACCCCCATTTTCATGTGTCTTCAGCATGAGCTCAATTATCTTTACATCAATGCAATTATGCTGATTACCGGTATGTGCAATGCCACATTTGGAGGAGTAATTCAGGCCTGGCCCGATTTAGTGGTGGCCTACACATATGGATCACTACAGCTGCTGCTAGCATGCATGCATAGTGGGTTGGTCTAAGACCATGATTGAGAACCAGAGGCTAGCAGGTTGAAGTTAGTTCTGCTTGGAAAGCGTAACTTTTTTCCAGCCATATGCCGCCCACAATCAATGGGGAACTCGTTGCCTCAGTCGGGCGCGAGGGATGCATGGATACAGCGAATGGGATTTTGGATCTTTGACCACATTGGTGGGTTTGATCTAGTCACTCCCCAACGCCGTAGGGCCAGGTTCCAATTCCGCTCTGCTGCTCCGCTGCATGTCATCAGCGCCATGAAACGTCATCAATACCATAGCGACGGCGGCCAGAGTTGTGCAGCGAGGCCGCGGCTGCGATTCTTGATCAAAAACTGGGAGCCGTGGTCACGGCTCGATCTGTTTCCAGAACTCTGCATTGTTTTATATGCGAGAATTTTAAAATTCTATTTTTAATTCGATGTGCCCGCCAGAACAAGCGGAATTTTTTTATATTTCTCGCACTCAGGCAGGTAAAAGACCATACAAAGAACGTGAATCACGACCGCGGTACCGCCATAGTGAGTGTCAGCGGAACCTCGCCACTCGTCTGCATACAGCGAAGTGCCATAGAGTAGTGGAGCCGCAGAGCCTTTAAAAGACCGATTCATACTTTATTTCGCGTACGAGAAACGCGTCGCGACGCGAAAAAGTTGATCTGAGCTCAACTATTTCGCGTACAGGAAAGTCATCGCGCGACGGTCGCGCGATGGCTTTCCCGTATGCGACATGAAGTATAAATCGGCTTTAAGGGATGGGTTCTCACTGCGGCTCCGCTGCCGCGGTAGGTCCCAGAGCTGCAGCTAGCAGCGTACCAGCATAATCAAACTACGCACAGTACAATTCTTGCTCAGGCTGGAGCGAAACCACAGGATCCTGTGTAAGATATCCAGTCACCCTGAGCAACTGGTTCTCGTCAGCGCTTGTTCATGTGAATGCCTGTCCTTTTATGCGAACTACAACCAGCCGGGGCGTTATGTATTATAATAACAAATCAAAACCGGTATTTTCAACACCCCTACAGGTGAAATATCCCAACTGGTACATACCGTATTACTCAGACCAACGTTTCTATAAAAAAAATGTAGAGTCACCTCCACCATTAAACTGCGCTCTTTAGCCGACTAGACACTCCTGCACACAACCATCACCATTGCGAGGACACTTCCGTAGACGATATTGATAAACTCCTTCAGAACATTATCTACAGTGTAGGTCTGCATCGTGTAGTACGTCATGAACGTGCATGGCATGACATTTTTTTTGTGTTCGCATAATTTACACTGGGTAAAACCATGCTACTGTCGTGGACATGGAAATCCGGTCGCACGTCTAGCGGTCCCACTGCGCTGCCCATGCAGCCGTGGATACGCGGTAGATCTACACCAGGGAGTGGTATTACTGTCGTGGACATGGAAATCCAGTCGATTGACCTGGGCCGCCGCCCTCAGAACGTTACGATGCATGCAGTGGACAATCATGTTGATCCGCTGCGACCAGCAGCGAATAATGCATGCGTGTGCTGCATATCTACGTAGTCTACGGCTGCATGCCGATGATGGCCAGCGCCCTGGGGCCGCTAGACGTAGATCTACGACCGGACTTCCATGCACACGACAGGAGTAGGACTCCCGGATCCCTGATGCACACACAATGCATTCGTATCGTGCGCTGCATGCAGCGTGCTGGTCGCGTCGAGATCAACATGTGCACTGCATGCAGCGTTCTGTAGATATACGCGCTGAGGCCGTAGTGAGGGCGCCGGCCCCAGTCAATCGACTGGATTTCCATGTCTTCGACAATAGATCATGGTAGATGTCTACGATCAAGAGCACATAAACACGACAATGCTCTTCCTACAATTAGTATTAATAATACAGCCGGCTGTTCAGGCTCAGACAGCACTGACTCAGTGACTGTTACTCTGTTGTGGGCATGGAAATCCGGTCACACGTCTAGTGGCCCCGGGGCTCTGGCCATGCCGCCGTGGATAAGCGGTACATACGTACATGTACATGTATCTAATATTGACTGAGTAATATTAATAATATAATAATTTGAAACTCGGATGTTGAGCCATAAATAAATGTAGAAAGGAAAAAGGATATAAGGATACGAGTTAAGAGTAACTCTCCTTCACTCTAACTGGATACTATATACAGTCAGAAAGTGCAATAACCTGGCACAAAACTGACAAGAGTACTGAGACATTCGACGTCCTGACACCTAGCTTCAACACATCTCCGTAGCGCTAACCGACAGCCTTCCAACTTGTTACTGGTCTCGTCATCGTCCAGTAACAATCGACATCCTTTGTTCCGTTGGGACTGTAGCCTTTGCTAGTTTTCGTCGCGCTTGCCTTCCCCTCTTTGGTCTTTCCATAACCTTGAACCTTCCAAGTTGGAAGGCTGTCGGTTAGCGCTACGGAGATGTGTTGAAGCTAGGTGTCAGGACGTCAAACGTCTCAGTACTCTTGTCAGTTTTGTGCCAAGTTATTGCACTTTCTGACTGTATATAGTATCCAGTTACAGTGATGGAGAGTTACTCTTAACTCGTATCCTTATGTCTTTTTCCTTTCTACAATAATAATAATAATAGTAATAATACCACAGCATGCGTAATAATATAATTATGTGGGTATAATTATACGTTCCGCTTCTGTCCTGTCTCCTATGATCAAATTGCATTATCCAGAATAATTATTAATACCGTGCACTGATGACCTGTGACGCCAGGTCATGGATTGTCGGCCAGATTTCTCCATTTAGGCTTGTCCAGAGCGATAGCCCTCACATTCTCCAGCTGATTGCTGCGCTTCAAGTCGATGTTCCTTCACTGTAAGTCGCTTGTGATGCGCGTCGCAATGGATGTCCTTGCCAAGTTGGACGTCCACGCCCAGCCTTGGCATCTCCTGCAAAATAGCCTGTCAGCGCGATCCATGGCGGCGCATCCCTGTCCATACGGAGAATATGGCCGGCTAGCTGCCATCTTCTCCTATCCTCGATGTCAGATAGTGGTTCCGTGTTGCACCTCTCATACAGCTCAGTATTTGATGTTTATATTTCCTAAATTGTATATTGACTGAGTACGAGGTCAATATACAATGAAGGAAATAAAGCCGAGTAAAGGAACAAGGCGAAGCCGAGGTCTTTTCCGAGGTTTTTATTTCCTATGCTGACCAAGTACGAAGTCAATATCGATTTATCACGACAAACAGTCCGTATTTCTAATTCCAGGACGATCCATCTCATGAATCCCGGTTTTATGATTGCACAACCGTTGCACCATCACCATGATCACCTACGCATGCAGTGACCATGCTGCACTACATATTTTAGGCACCGTTCAACTGCCCAACCCCTAAGCAGTCAATAAGCCCTTAGGAGTGAAATATGCAGGAATAGTTGACTGCTTAGGTATAGCGAAAATCAATGGGAGTCTAAGAGAGTGACAATGCATTTATGCCCTGCAGCGCGCTGGTCGTATCGGATCAACATGTGCACTGCACGCAGCGTTCTGAACGCGCTGAGGGCGCCCGCCGGCCCGGCCCCAGTCAATCGACTGGATCTCCATGTTCACTAGCGCTACAGCAGTAGACAGCGATCCTACACCATGGGCGTTTATTTTCAAATCATGGTTCATACTACAGTAATAATAATTATGCATGTTCCCAGTTTTAGGTTTGCACACTGCTTGGCTAGCCCATGCACTTCACAGGTTTGTTTGGAGTTCGCTGAGCTGTTCAAGCAGTATCTTGTCTTGACATGCACAGTCCGGTACCGCAACCCATCAACCAACAGACAACAACACCCTCGTGAGATCTTACACCTGTCATGGTCACAGCCAGCCACGCAGAGACAGTCGGCTGCCCCGAAAGACGAGTGGAGAAATCAACATGAAGTCTATGTCCAACGCACCAGTGCAGTGGTATAAAGGGTTAGGCTGCGCCCTTTGTTCGCGCTTTGTAAAGTGTTGTTTCTGTTCTGGATCAGTGCGGATCCGGATGGCAGTCTGGTACAGGGCTGCTCTCGATATAACAACTCTCACTTGTACGCAAACCTCGCTAGCACGTAAAAAACAAATAAATGACGCGCCCAACTCGCATCACTGCCATACAAATTTTGTTCTGCACAACGCAACCCTGCATAACGTAAACCTCGACATAACGTACGCTACGGCGCGGTCCCCGCCCGACGTGCGCACTCTCTACAGAACGTAGATTCACGATCACGTGCGCCGTACGATCCAGCTGTAGCTGTAGCTAGCCAGTTTAGTCCTATTGTGCATATATTCTGCGGCATTGATGGTATCTTATGTCGATGGTGTTGCAGTGTTTACAATCTTGTCTTTTACTTGTCGTCTTGACTTTTTTTACGCCTCTTATACGTGCAATCACGGAACATGATTTCACTGGCCTGACCGCGGCAACAACTGCAAAGCAAAACAAAACAAAAAATGTAAATAAAAAGAAACACACGGCGAGGAGACAACAATTTTATAACCGCAATCAATAAAACTAGCTGAACCGACATTTGTGTACTTTATTCTCGCATTGCTCTAAAGGCTCATTACTCACAGCATAGATATTCTCTGACTGGAATTCCGAACTTTTCCGTTTGAGAATTTTTTTTCCTTGAAATTTATCCTTGCTGGTTTTTTTTTCATCTAAATGTCCCGCTATTATCTGCAGAGGTGATTTCTTCCCTCGTCGATTTCTTTCCTGCTTTTATACCTCGATATTTAGGTACTTGTTTCCCTTCTTCCCATGCTTCATCTTCCACTCTCCTCTCCCCCATTTCCCCATTTTTCTTGCGATATTTATGTGGGAGACTTCCGTGATAAGCATCCATTTGCTTTTGGAGAATCCTTTTAAATAAATACAATACAATACAAATTCATGCAATGTAAAAAACGGTTGAGACGATGTGCAATAAAATGATGAAAATATGAAGAAATGGTGT